CTGAAATTTTACTACATAAAGCTGTACATGAAACACAAGGTAGAAAATATAGAAGAATTTTTTTTGTTATTATTATTATTATTATTATTTTAATTTAGGTATTATCAGTGTTTTTGATTATTTTGAGAATGCTCAACATTGGATATTAGTCATGGAACGTCTACGTAATTGTCAAGATTTATTTGACTTTCTAGAAGCCAAAGATCGTGGACGTCTTAGTGAATCAACAGCACGAAAATTCTTTCAACAATTAGTTCACATTAATTTAGCTATGTTACGGTACGACAACAAATTATTAGAAATATGATATACTAAAGGATTCCTACTGAGTGTAGAATAATAAATAAAGTAATTCTTCGATGGAAACTGAGATTAATTATAGTCTAAGATGAAAATTATTGAAATTGAATACACAAAAGAAGATGTAGAAATAATATTTTGCAAAATCTATAGACTATAATTAAAATAGTAATGATACAAAAATAAATCATTATCAGATTTGAGATTTATTATTCCGTAGGTGGTATTGAGACTTCAGTCAATAAAAATTTCGAGATATTGACATTAGAAATAAAGCTTTGTTAGTAAAGATTATCTTTGAATAGTTAACCGCTACATCGTTAAAACACGATTTTGAATTTGTATTGATGCGAAGAATTTTTTTTGTGTTTTGTAACAGAAAGTTTTTAAAGTGATATAACTACGTTTTGATGTATAATCTACTCTTGTAGTTAGTTATAATGCATAGAATTTTATATCGAGCCAGTTGTTTTCAGTCGGAAATTTATAAATCCAGGCGTCGAGAATCATTGCCTTGAGATAGTATAGGAAAGATATCCAGCTATTGAATCTGTTGTTAGTTAAGGATATTCTTCCTTTGTATAGTAGTGTAATGATATCTGTACGAAGAGATTTAATATTTTGATTTATTTTAGAAAAGGCGTTGTACATCGTGATCTTAAAAGTGAAAATATTTTAGTTGATCTTGAAACAGAATCCCTTGTATTAATTGATTTTGGTGCCAGTGCCATTTATAAATCTTCAACATCATATTATTCAGATTTTCATGGAACAAAACAGTATAAATCACCTGAATATATATTAAAAAAACGTTATACAGGTGTACCATCAACTGTATGGACACTTGGTGTATTACTTTATGATATGGTTCGTATAATGTTTTTGTTTTTTTTTTCGATTTAAAATCTTTTTTTTATATAGGTATGTGGTAGTTTACCATTTGAAAGTGAAGAAGAAATAACTGGATATAAATTAGCTCTTAAACCACATCTATCAGCTGAATTAAAAAATTTAATACAACGTTGTCTAGCACAAAATCCTGATCGACGACCATCACTTGAATCATTACTTGAACATGTTTGGGTTAAAGGTTAATAATATTGAATGGATAAGAAAAAAAAAAAGAAGAAAATAAAAATAAATCCGTGTGTATAAATGTCTCTCGCAATTTCTTTTTGGTTTTTTTTTTTGTTTCTTTCTTTATTCATTAATTATTAACAGTGAGTTTATGTGTTTGTTTGTTTGTTTGTTTTTTTTTACAAAGAGAAAATCAATATCTATCCATCTAATTATTCTTCACTGTGGTTGTAGTCGTTGCTTTTGTTTCTTTATGTGCAGCCTACATTTATTTTTCTTTTTTTTTTCAAAAGTGGGCTATGCTCCTATCTTTTATTTCCTCCTAGATTAATCAGGAATTATATTTCTTCTTTTGCTTCCATGTAGGGAAATTACTGTGCGCTGTGCGTGGTCTCTCAGTGATAACTGTTCAATAAATTGCTCGCGCACACGTCATATATCTATTATATGCGTTTTTCTTTCTTTCTTTCTTTCTTTCTGGATGAGTTAGACTGTGTAGTAGATTAGACGAATGCGCGATTGTTCATTCATTCATTCATTCATTCATTTCTTTCTTTCATGAATATATACAGAAAAAAAAGTGCTGCACTTTGTTTTTTTGTGTCTTCTTGCTTATTGTTCAAATCAAATGTCTGATAATCCTTTGCACACGAAACAAAAAAAAGAAAAATAAAAATATATATCTTGTCTGTTTGTTTTTGTTTTTGATACCTCTGTGACGAAAAAAAAAAAGAAGAATAACAAAAAAATCTCAAATTGTTTAAAAATATTTGTGTGTGTGGATAAACTTATGTCATTTGTTTTTTCCTTTTTGGTTTGATTTGTATCGTCTTCATTCATTGTCGGCTATATCTGGTGTTTATCTTTTTCTTTTTTTTTGAAAAACAAATGAGAAAATGATGAAACTTATTATTTCTTGTCTCTGCTTGTCTTTAAATATTTGTCTTTGATCAATTCTGATGAATAAAAGCAAAATATGTAGTTTTATTCAAATAATTGATTTATTTGTTTCATTGAAAAATAGAAGAATATAAATATAATATGAATTATGTTTTGCTATTTTTTAATACTTGATTATTAAGATTTTCTTCTTAATAGCTAACAAGATATCTGAGCAAAAAAAAGCATTGGTGTAGCTGGAAGAATTTTCTAATAGGTCCGAAAATTTTGAGTAAAATTGCTTGGATGAGAGTCTATGGAAACCTAAGGCTCATAAAATCAACTTTTAGAAAATCATTTTATTTGATAGAGTAAGATGAGACGTCTCCATAAAACTGCATTCAATTTACAGAAGACCTATTTTTCTCTTTTTTTTTTTATTGAAAATTTCAATGTTTTTGCTATGTTTGACGTTTCGAAGTGTTCTGTAAATTGAATGCAGTTCGATGAAGACATTTCATCTTACTCTATCAAATAAAATCTTTTCCTAAAAGCTGATTTTAGGAAACTTAATTTTCCGCAGACTCTCATCCAAGCAATTTTGTTGAAATCATCGGACCTACTAGAAAATCTTTCCAGCTACACCAATGTTTTTTTTTTCTCAGATTTTTGTTAGCTATTACCATCGAGAAGAAAACTTAAGAATACAATTGTTCTACACTTATATTTCTCATTATCTAGTTGATCGTTGTAATCAATTTCTAATAGTTTTTACTTGAGCTGCATTTTTATACTTTAATTTAACATGGACTGTAAAAGTCAAAACGTTTTGTTCGTGTCACGTAGAAACAACATTTCAAAATAGTTTAAAGCTTATGTTTAATAATAGGACGTCTGGACAATTATAAAACATCTTTTTATTTCGAACATGTTTAATGTCTAACGAAAAATTACTTCTTAAGAATGAGATTCAATTGTTCTTTATAGAAGAAACATATGTGAATGTGACATACAATATGCGCATTAATATTTTGTTTTGCTTGATATTTTTACAAGAAACAGAATTCGGTAAAGTTGGATCGATCTTATTACATCGAATTTAGACAATATACAATGTTTTTCTTCTTAGACCTTAAAAAAAAAGGCTTTTTTTAAACTTGTCATTGTTTTGAAGTGTTGTTATCCATCCTTTTACTGACAGATAGAACTTTTCATGTCATTACTATGTCATAGATAAGAGACTCTAATCTACTGTGATGCTAAAGTGCAATAGTTTGAATTATTCTGGATGGCTTTCGTGTAGACCTTTGCTTTATTAATAGCTATAACCATGAAATTAGGTTAGAGCAGATAATTCGCTGCAAAAAATTTCAAAGACAACAGTTGAATATATCTAGAATTTTATCAACTCTTATGCTAATAGTATTCAAAGATAATTTCATAAAATCAAACGAATTACAATTATTTGATATGAAATTTTTATTAGTGATAGAGGCAATATTGAATTCTCGAATGAAACTATCTTGTTAATTTTGAAATTATTCTTGTCTAAATAAAAAATTTATATTGACCTTGTAGTTGTTTGGTTTGAAGGCTAATCAAATCCTGATTTTTATTCGTAATAAATGATCGTCACGGTCTATTGATCATCAAAATATGAAATATAAAGGATTCGCATTTCGATGATATTTTTTACTTGCTTACAGGACTATTAGCGACAACTATAAATTACATAGATACATACTTCCGTTGTTTATATGTTTTTGTTTAATCACTAAAAACAATAGCGTTTGAATAAAATCCAGTACAAATTTTAATTATGAGTGACAGTTATTATGTCTAATTTGAAATATAATTTAGATGAATGAAGTAAATGTTTTGTAAGCAAGTTTGATGTGAAAATATGTACGTTATTCATCAATCGAAATTAAAAATGAATAAATTTGTATGATAGTAGATTTTATAGAATCTAAAGAAATTTATAAAAATTTATATTCTACTAGTAAATATTATTATTGAATAAATTTGCAATTTTTCTAAAAAAGAAAAATATATAATCTCTTAATTGTTATATTCATCTTGAGAAATTCAAGATACTCTTCATGAATTTCAAAATCAATAATTAAATAAAAGAAAAAAAAAACTACATATAGTATTTTAGTTGAATGATAACAATATTAAACAAGATAAACAAATACATTTGTACATTGAAATCATTGTCTTTATCCTTGGTTCATATTTATTTTCCATTATATATGAGGATGATTGTATGATAAATTAAGATTGTATTATTTTACAAATAATTCTACAATGAAAATAATCTTTTATATATATATTTTTTTTTCTTGACTACTCCAAGAATGTAAAACTGCTCATAAAGTCAGTAAAGATAATATAACGTCAAGGACATATCGATTGAACCGAAGATAGGTTTTTTTTTCTGACTCATTATAACTTTCATTGATTGCTGTGAGCATCAAGCGTGACGACGTTGAGTCATCAGAGTATACTTCTAGGACTATGTTACAGGAGCGACAGAAAGGTATAGAGTAATACAGAATGTGCTTTTTCATGTGTTTCCTACGTATTTATTACAAAGAATGAGAAAAGAAATGAAAAAAAAAAGACTATATTGTTGATCATGTGAAGTACAACATCGATTGACGATGTTATTCAGTTAAGAGAACCTACCTTTTGACGAGTGCGTTAGTGTGTTTATTCATAATTGCTGACGTCAAATCAACATGGCTGAATGTTTTAATCCTAGAACTCAGAGACTTGAATATTGTTCATCTCGTTTATCATCTTATATGTAAGACAATTAAAATTGTACAAAACAAAAAAAAAAAAACGTTAACGTTTTCTTGTTGTTTTTTTTTCTATTTTAGTGCTTTAGGAGTTATAATACCATCAATCATGTTAATAATTATCGTACTTGTGTATATCTATATTCGTTATAAACAGAAACAATTAAGAAGACGTATGAAAAAAAATGAAAGTGTGAAGTTTTTATTTGTTGTCGTTTTTTTCTTCTAGAACAACAGCAATGCGATATGGCAACTATTATTCCAATCGATAATAATGATCAACGTCGACAACCACCATATAATTATCCATGTCCACCTCGTTATACATCTATGTCAGACGACATATTCGGTAAACCACCATCTTATGAACAAACTGTGCAGCAATTATCTGAGACTAATAATAATAATGATAGTTCAACAGAACAGCCTCCTGCAAATCCTCAAGTTACAACGACGATAGTATCGTCTCATGGACCGGTAGAATCGACGAGAAATCAATATTAATCTTTTTTCGTTTATGAAATAATACATCTTCTTTAACTTATGCGTAATATTATTCAGACATATGTTAAAGTGCGACATCTTAGATAATTTTTTTTTTTTTTGTTTTATACATAATTAATTAATATTCAAACTATTGTAAAAAATTAAATTTTATTTGAAAAAATATTTTTGTAATATTCTTTGAAATTAATATCTTTCATCCATGTTTTCTTAAACAGAGGTCATTCCATTATTTACCATCAAGCCTAATATCAGCGAATCGTTGTTCAAGGGAGAAAAAATAGTAAATAAATAAACAAGTCTTCCTTGTATTGACTTTCTTGTTCGAACTCTTTTAACAATAAAGTAAAAACAGAAAGAAACATTATTAATAATATGTGAGTTCATGGTTAAAACAAATAAAAATATTCTATTCTATATTCGTCAGATGTTTACTAAATCCTATTGAATAATCCATCAATTACATTGTAGATATTATCTCTTTCGTTGAGAATCAAGCAAATTAAAAAAATTACATCGTAAACAATTGTCAACTGCATGTATTAAAATATATTAACACTAACAAATTCTCTCGTTGTTGTTGTTGTCGCCTCATTAAGGCGTTCGATCTGATTATATATAATTCATTTTAATAAACACAAATGAACGATCTCAGTGTTGAAGTAGGACATCCAAATGGAGCCTATTACAAAGTAAGTTATTATATATGGTTTTTACAAATGAAACAACTTTATATAGGCATATGTTCATGATGTGGATACAACTGGTATTGATGTCAAATATGATCAAGAGTAATTAATTAAATATTAAAATATACTAAAATAATTAATTTTATTTTTGTTTTTTTTTTTTTTAGTTTCTTCCCTCCAACAAAAATTCCCTTTTCTGAAAATCGTGTTCGACTTCCACCTGAATCAGTTGATCTAAAAAAATTATCGCCTGGTGATCCATGCGAAGTATGAATATCAATTCATATTACATAATTAACATATATATATATATATATATTCTTTAGGTACTTTCAAAAGCAAAAGAAGACGAACCACTTGGTTGGTGGCCAGCTACAGCTAAAATGTTCAAAGGCGATTTTTTCGTTGTTGATTATAAAGTCAGTGCTCAAGGCGCTAGTTATTCGGATATTATATCTAGTGATAAAATTCGTTATCCAAATACAAAGTATATTTTATAAATAAATATTAACATTTAATATTTAACTATTTATGTATTTTTAGTCCTGCGATTACATATTCAATGTTTAAACGTATAGAATTACCTGTTCCTAAAGAAATTCAAGAAGCGTAAATTTTTTATTTTTTTTTTAAAATAATCAAATTTTTTTTTTTGTTTTTTATATTCATAGATGTAATAATCCAGCTAATCATAAAGATTTTAAACGAACAACTGGTGCTACAATTGTTCGATATGACAAACAAAATTCATGTCTTGTAGTCATTGTAAGTTGAGGATTTTCTTTTTTTTTTTTTTTTTATTAGTTTTATATTTCTTTTGTTTTTAGTCAGAAAATGATAGTACTCTTCGTCGTGCTCAAATATTATCGGAAATGCATTTTCGAAATTTACGTTCAAAAGCTAAACTTGTACAAGAAACTGAAAAAGTTTCAAAACAACTTGAAGTAAAAAATCAAATCATTCATATTAATATATTATGAAAGAATTTTTTACTTTTTCTTTCTTTTATAGCGAATTATGGTTAATCAAACATCAAAATTTTTTGAAAAATTTACTGTAAAAACTGAATTAATGGGTCTTGCCATTGGTTCACATGGTTCAAATATAATAAAAGCACGCGAAGTACCCGGTATAACAGCAATCGAAGTCGAAGATGATACTTGTACAATTAAAGTATTCGGGGATGTAAGTCATTTTGGAAGATTGACACCTTCCTAGATTCTTTCAGATGTTCTTCGAAGACCATAACAGACGCTCTCCAGAGAATGTGACAGACGCTAACTAGAAATCATCATAGACCTTGACAGATGTTGTTAATATACAATCGTAGACTGTATATCAATAATGACTCGTTACAGTCTATTAACGACTTTCTGATTACATTTCTAGGAAATTAAGTAAAAGAGGGATGAAGAAATGTGCTACAAAAAAAAACGTAGAATAAAATAATCTTCACGTGATTAGCAGTAGTAAGCTACATCATGTTTTACATTTTAATCCCGCAGTGATTGTGCTATTTTATTAATGATTGCAAAAAAATATATTTGTTTTTTTTTTCAGACTGAAAAAGCTGTTAAAGAAGCACGTAATATACTTGAATATACTGAAGATGTTGTATCAATTCCACGAGATCTTATTGGTAAGAAATACTTCAAAAAATATTTAAAATTAATTTGAATCTTTTTTCTTTTTATTTTTAGGCAAAGTTATTGGTAAAAAAGGTCATATTATTCAAGAAATAGTTGATAAAAGTGGTGTTGTTCGTGTTAAAATTGAAGGAGATAATGATCAAACACCATCACGTGATGAAAATAGTCATCCTGTATGTTTTGAATAATTGAAACAAAAATAATATTTATAAAAAGAGTTTTTTTTTTTCTTTTTATTATTTTGATAGAGTCAAGTTCCATTTATATTTGTTGGTACAGCTGAAAGTATTGCCAATGCTCGAGTATTACTTGATTATCATTTAGCTTGTTTAAAGGTATATATATATATATTGCTAAAGTTAAGATGAATTGAAATTTTTTTTTTGTTTTTATATAGGAATTTGATGAATTACAAGAAAAAAAAATTCAAGTTAACGAACAATTTCGTACTATTGCTGGTCCACAACAGGGAACTGGAATGAATGTAGCTAGTAATATGGGTTATCAAAGTGGACGATATGGACGGTAAGAAAAAACAAAATTAATAAGCAAACTTTGGAATTTATATTATTTAACTTTATGTAAATTGTTTGATTTTAAGCGGCTCTCACTCTCCAAAAAAAGTCTGTTTCCATTAGAATTATCGAAGTTAAGATGAAGATAGGTTGATGTCGGAAACAAAATATGATTATTCTCGAAGGAACTTTATAATCAATTGCTTCTTTTTTTTTGTTTGAACGAGCCTGTAAAGCTACAATGCCCATTTATTGATATTAAAAAAGCACGTTCATAAATAGATGACTATTTTTCGAGGTATTGAACTTATCATTCTTTTTCTCCGCATAGAAAGTAAGAATATTAAAAAAAAAAAGAATTAAATGTATAGAATAAGGATCCATAGAGAATTTTGGGTTACCAAATGATCTTTTTTTTTACTCTGATGTCATCCGAAAACGTTATGATATAGGACTGAAAAATTTCATGCGATTCGAATGTACCTGACTCAAGAATTATCATAGTCAGTTGTATACGTAATCGCGAGATCAAAGCCCACTGAAGGATTAGTATAATAGTTGTCTTTTACTTCTCTTTCACATTCGCCGCAATATATTACGATTAATTGTCTGACGGTGAAGTTGAAATATAGCAAAACAAGTCTTTTGAATATTTATTGTGTTCTGACATAGATGTCACTGGTAATAGTATTGCATCTTTAAATGAAGTCTAACGAAGGAAGGTCCCAAAATGATTTATCACTTTTAAGTTGGGACTGTATACTATCGATTGAGCGTAGTCAATAAGTAAATACTATAGAGTGGTTCAAATTGTTGAGATATCGGATTTTTAGTGAACTTTGCTCACATAGTGACTTCGATTAGACTAGCTTATAAAAAACATGGATGTTATTTAAAGACTGATATCTTGGAGTGCTCTTGTTAAAGAAAACTAGTCTGAGAGGGACCTTTATATGAGCAAAGTCTCAGGTGAAAATTCCATAGTATGATTTTGCTTGAAAATTGGAGCCTTGCAGGAAAAATCTATTAGAACTTTGATATCTCAACAATTTGATTATTTACCTATTCGCTAGACTCTATTGATTGAATGTAGTCTCAACTTAAAAGCGACTGATCATTTGGAGACTTTTCTTCGTAAATGTAAGAATTATGATCGCCAATAATTTTCAAAGTATAGCATGTTAACAATTGATTTTTACTTCATTATTTATAAAAAATAAGTCTAGCGTCAAAAGCTTGATATCTTTCATCATCGACATGCATTAATAGTAGATAGGAATAAACATATTGATTAATCTTCTTTTTTTTTACAATATCAGGAACTAACAACTTTTTGAGAGTGAAAAGACTTTAAAGAGATTTCATATCACTTGAATATACCAATTTTATCAATTATTGAAATTTCAACTAACTATTTTATTCTTTATAATTTTAGTTACGAATTTGATCGAACGAGTAATACTGGTAATGTACGAAATTATCGTGATTCAGGTTATCCACAACAATATCCTCAACAACAACAACAGCAACAACAACGTGCTGATAATTATAATAATCAATCATCACGTCGATCAACTAATTTTGCTAGTGGTAATACTAATCGTGGACGTCGAGGTCTTGCTAATAATTCATATCGTGGTGGTACACATAGTGATGCTGGTACTGGTGGTAAGTTTCAATCTAAACAAAAAAAAAATATCATTTTAATAGATATTGTCCCGTATGAGAAATAAGGATAATCATATTTATCTTCACAGACGAAGCCAGCGAGTGTGGTGATGCAGCATCATCGTCGGTTAGTACTAGTCGAAAACATCGTGACTGGTCGGCACAGGTCGATAGTGAACAACAACAAGAGATTGGCTACAGTACAGACAGTATGATACAGTCGGCTACACTACCCAGAGGTGCTGGTGGACGAGGTGGTCGACGTGGTTGGAAACGTGGTCGACCACCATTACCTATTCATGAAGGTGTGCATATGAATAAAATTCTGCTATTTTCATTGCTTTTTAACATTTTTTTTTTGACACATAACTAGATAACCGATCGCATGTTTCTAAACATAACACTTTTTATCTCTCTAATAACATAAGCATGTTTGCTTCATTTTAACAAAAATTTATAAAAACTATTATATTAATTATTAATTCTTGGATTTTTATTTTTGAAGGTTATGGTGATCGTCGTCGAAATAATGATAATGAAAGTACTACATTTGATACACAAGATATGAATGGTTATTAAATTTTTTTTCAAGATTTAATTTATTATTTTTTTTTTTGTTGTTTTTTTAGAAGGTCAACAACAGTATAATGATCAACATACATCACAACGTTATCGATATAGTGGTGGTCCTCGTAGTAATCGTGGTAATTATCGATATAATAATAACAATAACAACAACAATACAAATGAATATTATGATGAGAATTATAATAGCAGTGGACAATTACAACAAATGTCAACAAAAAAATCTCAACAAATTTCGTCGAATAATGGTATTGATACAAATAATATAGCAACATCAGAAACAATAAATGGTGGTAGTGGTGGATCGAAAGGTCAACGAACGTCAAAACAACAGAGCAATGGTGTGAAATAAAAGATTTATTCAGAATAGGAAAAGTTTAAAGCAATCCACATACTCAATTTCTTTTTCTTTCTTTTTTTTATTATTATTCTTGTCACCTATGTGAGTGTGTGTGGTTTTCCTGGTTGCTGCTTTCTCATGTTTTGTACATGCTTTTATTCGTCAGCTTGATTTTCATCGTTGTAAACGGAGTAAATATAATGACTAAATCAACATCTGTCTTCCAGCAACCAAATTATTAACAAAGCAAATATCGGTCGTCTTCTTTTGTGATCCTTATATCCTTTGACGTGTACGGTTCTTATATTCTCTGTTCATTTTTTCTTGTCTCTTTGTTCTTTAAAATCTACACTCGTTTTTTTTTCTTTTCTTCTACCATTGATGACGTTAATCATGTGTCATTGTCTGTCTATATGTCGATTGTATGGCACCAGCGAACAATATGCATCGTCACATACATGAGAATCAAGAAGTCTTCATTTTGTTGTGTTCGTTTTTCTCTCTCTATCTCTTTCTTTTTTTTTGCTCTTGCGTTTTTTTTTTCATTACTCTTTTTTTTTTCTTCTTTTTCGCTACAAAAAAAAACCAAGTATTAAAGACATACGAGATGGTGACATAAACAGAATGTATAAGTTCATCATATGTTTTCAATGATAAACGAAAAAAGAAAAAGAAAAAGAAGGAAAATATAAATGATTAATCATTTAAAGAAATGAAAACTGAAGTCAAACTCAACAGGAATAATCTTGAATTTTTATTCTTAAGAAATATTTTTTTTTACGTTACACGATTGATATGTGTACATTTTATTGTACTCAAATGCACTTCTATCAAATATCGATTTGAAAACTGTATGATACATGTCCGTAGTTTTGTATCACGTGACTTCTAGTCACGAGATAATGTAAACGAATGAAAATAATGAAAAGGAAAAATAATCTAAGTTTTATTTTTTTTTTATGGTAGAAGATACATATGTACTCGGTTTATATTTTTGTTATGCTGATTAAAAGATTATGAAAAAGAGGAGGAAAAGAAAAAGTAGTTTTATAATAATAACATGTTCTTTCGGACTAAATACTTTGAAGTCTACGTACGCTCGTGTCTATAAAAAGGAAGAATCGCATATCTTTCTGTATTCTAACTTCAGCTCAGCCGACAACGATATAACTGCACGTGCTTCACTCCTATTCGTTATAATTGATTCTATCTATGAGTTCAAACGGTGGTGATCCACGTACATATAAAAGTAAGATATTATGCGAAATGTTCTTTTTTATTTTAATAGTCTACATAATATTTCTAGAAATGGATGATGATAGCAATACTGCTAATCATCAAGATGGATCATCAACATCAAATAATCAAAATATGGATAATAAAAATAATTTTACGAGTCCAACAGATTCATCAACCTCACGCAATACTTCCTCATCGCATGTAACAAATACTACTGATTCATATAATCGATCATCAAATGATCATGGTAAAAGATGCTGAGGATTTTATCAAAAATTCTTATTAATAATAAATAAAAAATAGTGTATCTTCCAGTATGGCTTATATACAATATTTCCATGTTTAGATTTTTATTTTATTTTTGTTCAATTTTATAATATTCAAATATAATAAATTGTTTTTTTTTTCTTAAAAACGATGTCTGTTTTCTCTTTGTTATTCATTAATAACAGTAGTTCGAGATCAAAGAATAATCATTATCATGTTAAAAAACAATATGTTTATGAAGTTTAACAGACAGAAAAAAAGGTTATTTCACAATATAAAAAATTTAATTCTCATCTGTTGACACTTTATTATTTCTTTAGTTTTAACGTCATTTAAATCTTCAGAATTCTAGAATGTCATTGTGATTGGTTGACTTTTTTTAGAACATTTTTTCTTCACAGTTAAATAATTAACGGTTGTTGTTGCTACTTTAAGTAAATGATAGAATATTTAACAAGCACTTTACAAGTCATGTTGAGACTATTCTATATTATCACATAAAAAAAAAGAACTCTAATAATGGTTTCATATCAATGATTAGACGACAGATTCATCATTGTTACTTATAAATTCAATCTTTTAGATTGACCGTGACTTCTTAAATTTAATTAAATAACAAAAAAGAAAGTTTTTATGAAGAAGATCTCTAATAATATGTATTTGCTCACTCGATAATTTTCAGCGAATTCATTTTCATTATTCATTAATGATTAAATACTAATCTATATTGATTGAAATTTACTTAAATATTTTTGTAAAAAGATTTCAAATGAACTATTTTGATATAGAGATACACTCTTTTACTTTACTCAACTATTCTCATATAAATAAACAATAAATATAGACCCTATCACATAAAAAACCTGATGTAACAAAATATTGTCTTTTCTTTTTTATAATCAATCATTAAACAATATTCATAAGAATATTTCAAACAAAACATTTTCATAATTTCTTTTATTCTATTTGAAATGATCTCACAATGTAAGCAAAAAAAAAAAAACAGGATGGACAAAAATATTTGAATTATGTGTGGGATTCGTATTCTTTGCATTATAAAATAGCAAGCGATAACAAATGGACCAATCCTCTGTTTATCTTGATTATTTCTACTAGAAACGAAGCTGACTTTGGCTCTTCGTAATCTATTAAAAATATATCCGATAATGAAGTATTATGCTATGTAATGATAAGATGTCACGTGCAAATTCTAAAGCCATGCACAACTAAAATTGCGAAAACCAATAGATGATATCGTCTGATTTCGACCCTTGACAAGTACATTAGTTTTCATTATAGTTATATGTTTTATAAATAAACATCTTGCGATTGTTTTTTTTTTTATCATTATCTTCAAAATAATAATAGATTCACAAAATCTCAGTTGTATCTATATTTTTAATAGATCAAATGGGATAAGATTATTAAATGTTCAAACATTGATATATTCATCTGACAAGATATTTAAAGATATCTTGATATTCAAACAAGTTATTTTGAACAGAAAAGAAAACAGATTTTCACCTAATCTTCAAAACAAATGTCACGTGATGCATATATATAAACACTTATACGTTATTACTTGACTTCTATCAGACGACAGTTAATAGTTATAATTGTGTTCTATGTCATAAACAAATAATATCGTTTTCTAATAATGTATGAATTGCATATCAATATCAAGGAAGTGATAATATTTAATAGTAAGATGCGTTCATTGATCCATATGAGTAAATCAAGTTGTAGTTGATTTTAGAGTTTCCACAAAAAAAAATGGCGTTAATAATTGATCAATCATTATCGATTTCAAGTGGTGATAACGAGAAAAACGGATTATAGTAAAACATATGTCTTGTTTTTCATGAAAATAGATTTCAAATTTGTTATAGTTATTTGATGTACTTTTCTTTTGTTAAAAATTAAAAAATAAAACAGTATAGTACAAAAGAAAATAGTCTTGTTGATGTAAAGCAAAAGCTACACTTAGTTTACAAGAATCGTGATTGACAGGCAAGAAAAATAAGAACGAGTTCAAAAACATTCATTAGTATATTGTGGAAAATTTTTTGGTGTTTTCCAGCGGAGCTGAAAGTTTTTTTTTTTTACATTCTGTTAGAAGGAAGATATTCTTCCTTTCCGAAGAAAAAAAACGAGACAACTTCCAATGTTGTTTGCTTCGGGCTATCACTGTATAATTCTTTTTGAACTTGACATGTTTCTTCTAGAAATGAATAAAAAGTCAATTTTTTGTGTCAGAATTATCGACATTAAGATAAATGCATGAGAAAATAGCTCAGTGTCTGATCTTTCATAAACGACATGATTTTTTATTTCGTACCTCGGTTTTTTTTTCGAAAATTTATTGATGATTTCTGCCATCACCTGCGTGAAAAATATTCTATTTTTAGAAAAAGTAGCAATTTTTTTTTGTTTTTTTCTCTGTTTACACTTTTTTAATCGCGCATCACAGAATTCTCGAAGCAGCTTGTCGAGATCCAAGGCATGACAATTTCTTACTATTATATAAAAGAGTACTTTTATAATTAGAGCACGATTTTTTTGAGAGTTTGTTGAGACACTACATTTGTCACCTCTTAAAAAGTAAGAATTTACAAAAACAAAATTAAGTATACAGAATGAAGAGTCAAAGAGAATTTCCTGTTGCCAAATGAACTTCTTTTGACTCTTGTTTATTGAATATTTCTAGAAAACATTATGGTATAGAGCTGAACATTTTATCATAGGCTCTCCATTATAATTCCAACATATGCTAAAAATTCCATGAGATTTGAATATACTTGGCTTAAGATCGATTTTTGAGGGTAGGGTCTTAACAAGTCAATTTCAATTAAATTTTTCAGTCTAGGAATTCACACTGAATAATAATATTAACCTTACCGAGCATTATTATTCATAGATTATGAATTAAGATTTTGAAATCAGCTTTATTATGTAGGAAAAGTATTGATTTTCTTTTTTGATTTGTTTACGTATGAAGACAATGTTTTATTTGACTAAGAAACTTCCATTATTATAGTGCAGAAAATTCCAGATCTTTTTTTTTTTTGGTCTATGAACTCGAATTCCAAGGATGTTCTATATTCATATATAATAATAGATAATTCTTTGTTTATAATTAATTACATTTGAATTAATGAAAAACAAATTCATAATTAACTAGAAAAAACTTGATTATTTTGAAATAATTCAATAATAATGAAAGAAAAAGATCTGTTTTATATTTTTTTCTTGTACTTTTTTGACAGAGATTAGTTCTAATTTTATCTTTCTAACTACGCATTTATTATAACAGAGAAAATATGTAATATAAAATTCTGGATTAAATTTTTTTATAGACATTCGTAAGAATTTATTATTTTTCTTAACATGATTCATAGTATTTCGTATTAATAATAATAAAAATATACATTTACATAAGTTAGAATATTTTTAAGAAATAATATTTATACATTATTTGAATCATTTATAATGAAATCTTGTTGAAAGCAAGAAAAAAGTTAAAATTAAATTTTTAATCTTATACTTCAATTAGACTAAGATTTCATTCTAATCTTCCTAATGCACATTTTTAAATACGAAAACAAAAAAAAATTGATTTAATTGTCAATCACAATGTTTATTTTTTGTGGAACTCGCATATATTTTCGAAGAAAATAGTGAGTGTAAGTTTTAAGCTCAAGTTTTTGCAGCTTCCCCTCCCCTTACAGACCTTAGTAATTAAGAATAACAGGCGTCAGACTTTCTAGTTTTTCTGAAAAAATTGATCAAGTTATAATTTTGAAAGATGATCAATATCATTATTTGCGAGATGATTAATATATATAATACTGCGTAAGATCTTCTGTAGATGTTATGAATATGTAAAACAGATTTATGTGTCAATTAATTCAATGATTATAATAATAAGAATGTTGAATTTCGAAAAACGATTTAAAATTAAAAAAAATAAATGATAATGAGCGAATAGCAACAATGCAAAATAAAAATAGAGCGCTTTCAAACAAAAAAAAACAATTTTCTGTTTTAAATCTAGAAATAAATAACAAAGTCTTGCTCTTGTCATTGATTATTAATGAAAACAACTACAGTGTACACGAAATTTTTTCAGTTTACATATGATGTATTAGAATATTAAGATTTAAGGATATATGTGAGTTCCATATTTCAGCTCCAAAGGAAGCTGCGGTAACAAGCTTTTTTCTTACATGAATACTAATCGACAAACTCTTGAAGCATTTTTTTTATGGATTGTATTCAATAATATTTCATGTACTCTGATGTGAGATAAACTATATGAAAACAACTGATTTTTGATTTTCTGAGTTCAAATAAGTTTGTGATTATTGTGATTTGAAATGAGTTTACGAAAGTTTTCTGAATTAAAATGAGCTTAAGTGATTTTTCTGAGTTTTTTTGATTCAGGATAATTTTCATGAGTTAAAATAAGTTTGTGCGATTTGAAGTAATGTAAGTGATTGCCTATTATAAATGAATTTTCAGAGTTATTTGCAATTGTTATCTTTTATGCAATAAATATTTGAAATCTATAATGCTTGTGTTTAGTTTATTCAGACTGTTAATAACGTCATTTCTAGAATAACGGATCGAAACACAAGAAAAAAATAAGGATTTGCATCTATAAATGTCATAACTAGGTAACCTTGTGTATGATGGATATTTTTATATCAAAACATATCTCATAAACTTCTTCCTTCTGCATATCTATTTAATTAGATACATTTATTATCAACGCAAGATCGACTACACGTTAGTTCATTATCTGAAATATAGAATAGAGATCGAATTGAACCGACTTTTACTAGTTCGGTTTGGTTCGGGTGCATTTTCAAAAACCAGTTTGGGTTTGGTTCGACTTAACTCAGACATCGTCTACTCATAATAAAAAAGCTTTGAAATTGTACTACAATTGTGCATTGCGATTGTATCTAACAATCAGTGACCTAATGTATATTTAACAATTCAACTTGAACTACCAAAAGCAGTTCAGTAGCATGGTCTTCCAGTATGCGGCTGAAACACGTTTACGTTTCTTTGGAATAACTTTATAATTCTTATTATGATTTTTAATAGTAATTTGATGAAATCCGAAGTATAATTTGAAGATAAATTCGAGTTAGACTGTAATGATGAAATTTGGAATGATGAATGAAATATTAAAGAATTAGTCGCCACCATTAGAATAATAAGTAGAATTGAATAGTTTATAGGAAAGCGAATATTAAATAATTTCAAGATAGAAATGAGAAGCAATGAGAATGAGCAACTATTTATTACTGAATGATATGTTGTAGATAATTAGACGACCGGCCGTCTGTTCTATGCAGCACAAAATAATGAAGGAAAATGAGAGTAATGAATTGAAAAATTATGTCACATATAAGTGACCGATCGTCATGAACAGAATAAATGTAATCGTTAAAAAGTGAAAATGGAACATTACACTGAGATTAAATGTAAGTATGTGAAACAAACTGTCCCACGTTATTTGATCACTCCTGATAGAACGACAGTTTTACAAAATAAAAGATAGATGAATCAATTATTTTTCTTCTACATTTATTTATATTCACTCGAATTTCAAAAATCAGTTCGGTTCGACATCATTTTTCAAGAAGTGGTTCGAGTTCGGTTTGGATTGACTCGAACCGAACCGCTTTGGTTCGTTTCGGATCGGTTCGTTTTTGGTCTCTGGAACTGCAGTTCACATAATACTTTTTGTGACAAACAACGTTTGGCGGGCACGAGTTACAATTCTCTTTATTGTCTTAGTATGTCTGTGGATGTATTGAAATATGTTTCATGGGAGAGAACGAATTGTTTTTTTTCTAGAAAAAGACTCAACTGCTACTAAGTTTTCACAGAGCGAAGAACGAGAATTCGATTTAATTGTTGATTACCACAATGATTTTCAATCGAAAAGTAAGATCATTTTTTGCCTGAAATTCAATTCTCTCTCTTTTTCGCTACAATTACATTGACAATTCGGTTTTTTCCGCTTTCTTCGGAAGAATATTTTCGATATAAAGATAAACAAAACAATGTTGTGTCCTCGCGAAAATCCTCTGGTGTTTGTCATGTTATTTGCTTTTTTATTTTAATTCAATTGGTTACGTACAGTACGTGTGGAATATTCTTCTACTGCAGAGATAATCAAGATGAAAGCAGAAATACAGAATCGAAACTAGGACGACTACGTGCGGTTTGTAATGCCATAGAATCGTTCCAATCAGAAGCAAGGGTGAGGGTAGGTGTTAAAACAAAATGGTTTTCAGTCTTTGATGTATGTGTAAAACGCTGACGATGACCGTTTAAAGATTATATTGGTCGAAATATTGGTTAATTTCGTTTTTCTGTCATAATTGATTGAAAATAAATATAAAAGTTTTTTCTGTTACTATTGTCTTATTACTATTTTTATTATTATTTGACGAATATAAGCAATATACATGCTCCATTATGAGCTGACACTTCCTTTTTTTCACAAATTACGACGGTTTTTTCTTTTTGTTTATATCATGACTATTTTTAAAAAAACAGTGAACGAATATAACAGGAGAGAAAAGAAGTACAGAAACGAAAAAAAGTTATACAACACCTACTATTGACATAAATTGATAAAAATAGCATGAATGAATAAAAAAAAGCGATGAAAAAAAGGAAGAAATGATCCATACTTACCTTTCACACTTGAAATATTATTCGGTCGATTTTGATTAGAATGAAACTAGTACAATATTTTCAACGAACTTTTCTTCAATGCTAATATACCTTGTTCTTTTTACTGATACAAGATTGAACTGAAAAACAATTAGTAAAATGAACCTTCTTTCTGAATTTTCCAGTACGAAATATCTGTTAAAAGTGTCTCGAACTGTCAATAAACGTTAAAAAGTTTTATTCATTTATGTGACATTGAAAGATTCTAGTGTTTGTGTATAATTCAGTTTGACATATGCAACATCTTCAGATGTCTAAAAGCTTGCTTGTCAACGATTTCATGTTTTCTATTAGCATTTTGGAAACTGAACTACTTTCCAAGTTACTTAGATGGAACGTATTATAGTCGCAATAGACATAAAAGCGAGGGTAGGAAAAGCTGATTACAATCGACAAATCATTGACAATCACGAGTTTTCTGAAACAGATCTTTTCAAAAACAGCCATTTTCCAGTATCGATGTTATTATCTTACCGTGTCGAGACATCTCTGGTTTAAGAGAATATGGATTCGCTGGCCTTCACTAATCAATAAAAAATATTAAATGATTTTCATTTTTAAGCCTTCACTCCTGATATATCCAAGTCATAGTGTGTTTTGCAGCATAACAGAAGATTTTACAACAAATTCATCATGAAAATAGTTTTTGAATTTTTTTTGGCTCAAGATCTTTATATAGATAAAGATTTTTTTGAATATAACCATTATAGAGAAAGGCCGAAAAAATCTTCTTATTGTAACAATTTCAGATTATTTAGCTTTTTCATGCTAAAAATCGATCATAAAAAATAGCTTATTTTTTGTGTGACTTTCACACATAGAAGATTTCTACCATTTATCTTCGTTAGAAGGAATGCTCATAAAATTTGAAACTTCCAGAATAAACTAGTTTCATTGAAAGTTTTTCGCTGGGAATTTTTATACAAAGTTGAAATGTCGACCTAAAAAGAAGTCTAATGTAAAATGGATGGTTTTGATGGGAATACAGAGAACTGCGGTATCACAGCGAATGGGACTTAGAAAAAAAATTGATTTTAGAAATTTTTATTTCTCGATAGAATTTAATGAAAAAAGACTGGTTTGACTAGAAAATTAATTGTGTCTTTGAGTAGGTCAATTATAGTCGAAGTTCTAATAATATTTTGTCTCGTTTTGAAGATGTGACACTAGTTTTTATTATATTTTCTACTAACGCTTGCGCTTTAACTATAATCAATCTGCTAGGAAAAACTTGATTGCCATTCTGTTTAATGATGAAAACTCGAAATATATCAAAATGAGTTGCAGACAAGCACTCAACTCTTTAGATGTACAATGAGTGAACAAAAACTTTTTTTAACGTTTATCTACAATAGGAAGTACCTTTAACATGCATTTCATACTGAAAAACTCAGGAAAAAAGATCCATTTTGCTAATTGTTTTTTCGGTTCAATCTTGTATCAGACAAAACAAGGTATACTAGCATTGAAGAAAAGTGCGTTGAAAATATTGTACTAGTTTCATTCTAATCAAAATCGACCGAATAATATTTCAAGTGTGAAAGGTATGTATGGATCATTTCTTCCTTTTTTTTCATCACTTTTTTTTATTCATCCATGATATTTTTATCAATTTATGTCAATAGTAGGTGTTGTATAACTTTTTTTCGTTTCTGTACTTCTTTTTTCTCCTGTTATATTCGTTCACTGTTTTTTATAAAATAGTCGTAATATAAACAAAAAAGGGAAAAAAAAACGTCGTAGTTTGTGACAAAAACGAAATATTCGCTGAGTGTAGGAGAGGTTGTCTATAAAAGAAAGAAGCAAATAAACTTCTGCTACTCACAAATTCATTACAACAAACAAGAAGCAACTACTAACATGGTAACAACACATACTTTATTTTTTGTTGCTTTCATCTTGACTATTGGCATTATTACAATCACCGAATCAACTAGGTGCACCAGTGGACGTTATTGCAATGAACCTAGTACCGTCTGCTGCAATGATATAAAGCCTGGCTATTGTTGTCAGACAGGTTACCATTGCTGCAGCGATCGGGATGTGAATTCTTTGTGTTGTCCAGACGGTTATACGTGTGACGGCTCGACAAGTTGCAGTAGACGACGGCGTGATGGCAATGGCCCAGCATCAGTACAAGGAGTCGATGGAAAACGTAGTGCATGAATCATTTCTCATATATAGACATTTCTTATTTATCTTTGTATCACATGCAAAAACATTCAATATCATATTTAATCTAGCACATGTGTGAAGCATAATTTCCTAATTTTCTTGCTATTTTATAACTTTTCGAATAAACTTGAAGACATGACTATTTAATTTAGAGAAATCACTACCTACCGGGTGTCTTTAAAAAGATAGTATTGATATTTTTTTAGGTTGAGAATGTCTCTTTTATGTCGTGTCAATGTATAGTCATACAATGGCTTTTGAGTTTTGATGATTGTTCGATTGAGAGTGAATTTAGAATTATGTCATTCGATTTCATTTCTTAGTCGTAAGAACCTCGAATACCATCTACGGGTGTGGGTGCAGGTGTAATTTACCTGGATATCCGCATCCACACTCACACCCTTCTAGATAATGTATCTTATTCGGATCATAAAAACCATACAAAAGTATAAATCATGTGATAAGATTCTTAAGTAAGGTCGAAAGTAGTTATGGATATTTCTATATATATATATCCCTCAGAAAAGACGTCAACAATTAATCTCTGCATATTATTATTTGTGCTATAAAGCCCATGTACACATCTTATGAGTTCATATCACTGATGTCAATTGCTTAAAAACATCAGTTAAGAATTATTGTTTGAACTTGTTTTTATTACATAAGTGAATACGTCTATTTAATACATACTTAGTCCAAGATATTTTTAATGGCTGTCTTATAGAAACGTTCACGGATAAAATAGTTTTAATACGAAGTTTAAATTTAATGTTTTAATTTACAGAAGAAAATATTGTCCTGCTAATGTCGATCAATACAGTTCTGCACTGTTGGAATAAACAACACCATTACGATCACCACCAACAACTAACACTGTTCCACTTGTAAGTGTCGATACAGTATGAAATTCTCGTGTAGTAATCATGGTACTAGTAAGTGTCCAGATTTCTGTTAATGGATCATATAATTCAGTACTATTGTATCCACCAGTAATCAATACTTTTCCTTTTGTTAATGCCGATGCTGTATGATATTTTCGTGTAATATTGATACTTCCTGTAGTGATCCATCCTAGATGAGATACATAAGTGTGAAAAACACATCTTTTACTTGTGTAAACTGTAAATCAGTCAAGTCCAAAAGTTGTAAATCCACAAATTACAAACCAAATGTTTTCAAGACTTTCCAAACATTGTTCATTTTTTATGTATATTAAATAGATAGATTGTTATAATAAGTGATGATAATAAACAAATTAAGTTATCTACATCATTCTTAATTAAATGCGCCAGGTTTTTTCTAATGAGAAATAAGCTTTGAATTTTTATCCATCAAGATAAAAGTTCACAGATAAACAGATACCGCAATAGACTCACTTTTGACTTCTACACAAAAAATAAGCTGTTTTCGATTCCAAATAAAAAGCGATCTTAATTGTACTCTTGATACATAACTAACGTTATTAATTCTGGTATATTCTAAGTAGAAAAAAGCTTATGAGAATTTTTCTCATATGTTCTGCTACTTTACTCGTGACTGTCTATAACATTTCTGACATTATAAGCAAATCAATAAGATATTCATTCGCTATACCTAAAACATATATGAGATATGATGTGTTCCTCTTTCTTTCTGTTATTCATCTTTGTTTCTTTTCTTGCTGTTTCTCTTTTTACCCTTTGACTTTTTTTCACAGTGTGGTATTTACAAGTTAAAAACAAAGGACATAACATCATCTTTTTTCTCTCAGTTACATCGGACTACGCAGATGGGAACAAGCCAAGGTATGATCGTCCTTTTTCTCGCTCCTTTGTACTTTTATATAAATATTCTTGTTAATTTTCTGAATAAATGGATATTATTAATTCTTCGAAAACTGGCCGTTTCTTAGAATTATTGATGAGATTGTGATACATCTGGAAAATTTATTAGGTTGATAAGCACGACAAGTTGTTTATCGCGTGAGATTGTTCTCAGTGTCCAATGGGCACTGTTTGAATACTATTTTCGTTTCTGCTCATATAAACATCAAGCGCAAAATAGATGCATTCAAAAGCGGTTAAAATAACTTTTCAGCAGCATGCAGACGCACTTCATTTTACAATGGCTATTGGCTGCGATTTGCAAAACCTTTGATAAATGGATGTGAATGTACATGAAAAATAGCGTACTAAGCGCGATCATACTCGTTTAGACCTACAATCGTGTTCAGATCCATTTTGAAGAAATTTCGCCAATCTCATACACACATATTGTAGTTTATTATGCCTTCGCCGCTCTGAAGAACAGCACTGTCCGAATTTCATGAATTCTAAACTCATGAGAAGCTTAAGAAATCCTAGATTCTTAATAAAACATAATAATAAACAACATACCATTAATGAAAAGATAAGTAATCTAAGGAACACATGGAATGAAGGAATCTAAGGTGGCCAAGAAGTCCAAGGAAATCATATAACTCAAGGAATTCACGAAATCCAAGGGACTCCAGAAAGAGTGAGTAATGGTTGAGAACCAGAGTAAGGATGATGATGCACACAAAGGTCATCTGTCCGACTAGCAGTGATGTCGAGCGTATAACTTTCTGTCTTCGCCATCAGTTCGAGAGATGGTCTTTGTATGCATCGCTATCCTGACTCTCGCTCTCATTCATTACTCACTCTTCCAGGAGTTCTTTGAATTCTTTCAGTTCCGTAGATCCGTTGAATTCCATTAGTGGTGTGTACTGTATGTTTAGTAAAATATAGATTTGGAGAGTTCTTTGAGTTCCTCAGCAGTTTAGAATCCAAAGAACTTGGACCGGTCTCATTTTCTTGATAGAATAACAGTAACTTTATTGAATAAATAAATATTGACTATTCGTAGATGAACGAAAGATTAATTCTCTTACTCATGGCTGTGCTTGTGGACCGTTTAAACATGATGTCATCACTTGTCATATTCAAGTAACCTTCACTTCTCCAATTACCTCCTTAAAGCCTATTTTTGACAAACAGCCTCTTTAATTAATATTTTCGAATGTTGGTTGTCGGTTTGAGTGTGGATGCGTGTCGATGTGGATGTGGGGGTGTGGGTGAGAGTGTTGGTGTGGATTTGAGGTGTGGGTGTGGATGTGAATGTGGGTATTATTATCTTTCTCACATCCATACCCAAGGGGAAAACATCGTACTTGTGTACTTTAAAGTACATAAAGTACGTAAAGTACGTTAAAGTACAATGAAGTACCTCAAAGTACGAGGAAGTACTTTGAAGTACAAAAAAATACATTAAAGTACGTAAAGTACAATGTTTTCCCCTTGTCTGAACCCCTTACTCTATTAGAAGTCTCCTCTGAAAGAATCAATGTACAAGATGTGTTACAAATTCCCTCATTTTAATAATTTTTGAAAAGTTTTATGAATATTTTCATAATGAAACTGTCAAAATTTCAAGGTTTTAAGTTAAAAATTTGTTTAATTCTTATTTACCAGCATGGAAATCTCTGGAGTCTTTTAAACAATTTTTGTACTCAAAACATTTGAAAAATTTAAGGACTCAATAGAATCCATCTATAAAACTTTTGAATGCTTGGGCAATTTAGAAACCTCGGAAGTTTGTAAGAGTGATCGCTGCAAAGTCGATTGGATAGAAATCTTTGCATCTGTCTGGAAGAGATAAACGAATGACCATTGTATTGATGTATGCATGATTATAAGATATAAGGATGATACAGAAATACGTCATATCACTTGTTTTCGTCACGCTAAATAAATACACATTGTTTGTAACTTAGAAGAAGAAAACTTTGTCGATCATCTAAACAAATAAGAAGAATACACAAACACAAGGAATAGGAATATGTTTTCCATCAGAAACATTTGCATCAATTAAATATACTCGATTAACTTCAAATCCATTAGTTTCAAATGTCCAACTTTGTGTAAATCGATTTTCAACTTCAGTTAAATCTTTTTTTATCTAATTCTCATAATGTTAATGTTCCATTAAAATTATTACTATTTAAATTTAATCGTTGAATAAACTCAATATTAGTTGGTTTAAGAAAAAGACATGATGTTAAATAATTAAAAACAAATTGATTGTGCATCAAAATCAATTGTAAATTTTGGTATTGATCCAATTTGTAAACATAAATCAAATTCAATTGGAATATGATCATGTTCAGCAACAACAATATAAGAGACAAGTAGAAAACTCATTTGATGTCATTATACATAAACAACTTTTTGTAGTTAAAGTTAGAGAAATTTCTATTACCGAAGGTTTTTCAATGGGGACAGGTTGTTTATTATTATTATCTTGTTCTTCTAAATTAACTAAAAGAACTTGATTTTTAATAGTAAATAAATCATCGGGATTATTTTTACAACTAATCATACAAACATGATCAATAGTAAATTTAATTGAGTTCCGTTTTGCTTTCATTTCAATAAGAATATCTGATATTCTTTATGTTATTATTTGACCAAGTATAAGATGAGCTATAATTGAATTTTTATATTGGAAAATTCTGATTCAGGTACAAATAGATAAATTAAATTAATATATGGTGTCCAACGTGGATAAGCTTTATCATATATTGATCGAATTGATTGAATTTGTTCCCAAACATTTTCAGGTCGAATTAAACAAAGTACTGTTTTAACTGTTACTACAGTAGACATAGTATTAATGATGATAACTTGATTTATTAGAAAAAGGAATGAATGTATCATATTGATATTCAACACATTGTAATTGCAGCATTCCGAAACACTAACAAAACAATGTCAATTTCCCTTGATATGATGAAATTGGTGTGTGTTTTTTTTATTTCATCAGTATAAATCAGATAGAAAATGTTATACAGATGATAATTTTCATTTATTTAAGAATGACATATAGATGAAGAAGAAATATTAGATCACGAAAGTATCTTAGTACTTCAATTCATGACATCTTCTGAGTCATATAAATCTGTACAAATTCATAATATCCGATAGTTAATCAATAATGATGACTTATAATCAGAATCTTATTTTTTGATTGAAATATAATATAACTTCATTTTCTTTAGCATCTTTTATCCTTGTACATGAATATGAATCAAGCTATTTTTTAAATCTCAAAGGTAGTATTCAATGATTTGTTAATGATTGATATTTATTTTCAGATTTTGTCCTATGAATAAAGAACAAAACAGAAAAAATTTCATTCTTTTAACTTCTTGTCATTTCTAGGAGAAAAAAAAAACTCATAAACGATAATAATAGACTCTGTGAATGTGCAGCGCTGCAGGATAGGCACCTAACATACAGCTCTGTTTGTTTTATCGTCCACGATAGTTGTGTAAGAGAAACATTAAAATACGAGTTTTTTTTTGTTGATCATGACGAATCCTCCTACATATATTGACTTTCCTGTACATGAACAATCTCGAAATATTCAAGCGGGTGTGAGTGTGTTAGTGTGGCTGCGGGGTAGACAGCTTCGAGTTTGTATTTTTTTGGACCCGGGACCAAGAAAAGCTGAATTTTCAGAAGCAAATCGGACCCGAACCCGATCGAGTCTAGATCTGAACCCGATCTTTTTTCACCAATATTTGGTACCCTCTGTGTGAGTGTCGATGTGGTTGAGTGCGAGTTTTTTGTGCCTGGAGACGCACATTCACACACACTCACGTCCACACCTACACCCTCAACAACAAGATTTGAAGTATTCTCAAGAAATTATTCCAGTTAAAGCCCGCCTGTATGTAAAGTTTCAAGTCAAAATTCGAAAATCAATTTTTCTATTACTACAGCATTCATTTAAAAACTACCATAAGTTTGCAGTATCTCTGCAGCAACAAGCTAAGAGCACGGACTGTTTTCAGAATACTCATAGTTTATTTACATCTACATAATATACATAGTCTCGACTCAAAAGTGATTTATTAGTTGGAGATTTCCCTCATTGACCCATCCTGGAAGACTTTGAAAGCTTTGGTAAATTAGTTCTTTACGTGGGTTAATGTGGGCTTATTCTGAGCTGAAATATTGTTTCTTCCACTAATTTAGAAGCTGTTTTTGTAGTTTATCATTAAAATAGCTTCACATCAAACTATAAGAAAGTCTTTTTTAACAACAGTTCATAAAGTGAGATTTTGTTTAACAAAACATCGAATTTGTTTATCTTTGTTACATATTGCTACAAATGATCGAAATCGATTACATTTAAGATACTGGAATTCGAAAACAATTTTTTTTTGAAATATACTGTCTTATATAAAGATAAACTTTTTAAAAAATGTTGATAGCTTGCTCATTTTTTTCTTGAATTCTAGCCTATTATAAACTATGATTTTATAGGAAATTAAATTTTCTAAAACGATAGAAATTCAATATATCATTCAGAGAAATTATAAATCATAGCAATAATTACAAACCATATTTTTGATTTATTCAAATATTTGCTTACATTCTTATTAACTGTGAATCAGAAAAAAAAATTCTGATTTTCATTATTTTTCAGTGTTTCAAATGACTTATAAGTATATGAATAAAAAAAATTGAAGAGATGTATTCTGCAAAAACTTTTTACATACAAGTTAGATTATACAAAAATCATCTGTTGACTTTGACATAGAATTGTTTCAAAATATTAGAAGACGAGTTTTTTTCGATAGTATAGTTTACAAATCTCAAAATGTAAGAATAATTAAAGCAAATATCATATTTTTATTTGTAAGAGAAAAAGCCTTAGCAGTAGATTAAAATAAATTATTTTTTTTTGCGTTTGAATTATTATTTTCATCCTTCAATATATCCAACTCATGATTTATGATTGAATTCAAACCAATAGTAGATTTTCATAGTTAGTTTAAGAATAATATAAAATCCTTTGAAATTATTTATAAAATTCAATGAACGAAAAAATAAAAACGATTTGAATTATCTAAAAATTTCTTTATTTTTCTATTAGTTATTGTTTCTTGTTGTTGTTTTTTATTTTAAATTCTTGTTTTTAATCTCTTTTTTTCTTTAACGATGATAAATATAACAAGATCAAAAACAATAAAAATCTTATCATTGATTTTTAAGCTTTCTTTTTCGATACACCAACAGTGCGACCACGTCGACCAGTTGTTTTTGTATGTTGACCACGTACACGTAAGTTCCAATAATGACGAAGACCACGATGAACACGAATCTTTTTCATACGTTCTAAATCTTCACGAACTTTTGTATCAAGATTGTTTGATGTTGCTTGTGTAAATTTGCCATCTTTTATATCTTTTTGACGATTGAGAAACCAATCAGGAATTTTATATTGTCTTGGATTAGTAATAATTGTTACAATACGTTCAACTTCTTCTTCAGATAATTCACCAGCACGTTTTGTTCCATCAACATCAGCCTTTCGTATAACAACGTGAGCAAAACGACGACCAACACCTTTAATTGCTGTTAAAGCATAACCAACTTTTCGACGACCGTCAATATTCGTGTTAAGTACACGAAGAATATGTTGAAATTTTTCAGGTTGAATTAGTGGTGATGACATGTCGTATGGAGATATTTAAAATCTAAAACACAAAAAAGAAATATATATATATATATATATATATATCAATATGTATAGATATTTTAAATGTTCGGCTGAAGAAAATATTGGAAAGGAAATAATCATTGGATGAATATCGATAGGTTAAAAAATAAACAAGTAAACAAGAATATTCATTTACTGTATGTATCGATTTATCAAATTATTTTATTAGATAATTTTATAAAAAAAATTATTTTTCAAATTAGATATGATTTATTTTACAACAAATATTATTATGATATAAGTGCATAAATGGTTTATTGAGTAGGATGAGGACGTTTCTATGTAACAGTATACAATAATGGCGAAATTACCTATTTCAGTGCACTTTAAAGATTATCGTCTAATTTCGTTATTTATATTTAAAATCGAGTTTTATTATGAATATGAATGATAATTACGATTCAGTTGATTATCAACCCACAGAAAATTAAGTATAGTAATTAGAGATGAACTGTGTATATGAATTCATGTATTCTACTATGAATATGTTTCGAAAAATCAATAGGAGTTGTTTTACATTGGAAGATAGTGAAGATTAAGTTGCATTATCAATTATAAAAAGAAAAATATAAATTGTTTTAACGAATCAAGACAGAAATTAAAATTTAAAAAAAAATTCACACATATAAATATTAACAAGTAGGTCAAAAAAAAAAACTACCGAGTATTTTTTATATGCATTCTTTCTTTTTTCGTATCATTGTTGTTTATATGTAGAAAACTCTGTGAATATTTATTTGATGATATTCAACAAGAAACTGTTCTAAATTGTTTAAATTTATGAGATAGATGTAACAGATTTATGAAATTTTTTTTCTCAAATCCTTTCTAATTGTAGAACGTTCAATTTCTGAAATCTTTCTTATACGAAATATATAAAGTGATGTTTGAAGAAACAACAGTCAATTTTAAAAAGTCGTTGGTTGCTTTTTTTTTTGTTATAATTTCTAGCTGAACAAAGAAAGAAAGTTGACTTCAAATCATCACTTTTGCATTCACCAATTTTTTAAAGCTATTTGTTAGTAGAAAATGAAATGTAAAGAAGCAATTATTAATGCCGGAGATGTGAAAAGACATTACTTTTCATATACGCTATTTTTTTTTTATAGAATTTAATTCATTAAATGAACTATTATTATTACATTAAATGTGATAACTTTGATAATTGTTTAAAAATGAAATTTTATTACGTTTACTAAAAATGTGAGTAAGAAAAAGCAATTAGTTTGAATACTAGCTAGAGTAACTATGTTCATTTTGTGACGATAATTTATGTCTAATGTCATTACATTTAGTTGAACATTTAATTGTAAAATAAGTTTGGCCTTTTAAAAAAGAGTACAAACACATTTTGTATTAGGTTTTATATTAAAAAAAAGAAAAGAAACTTCTTTTCTTATAAATCTTTCATTTTGTTTTTAGATCACTCTATTCTAAAATGTCAATTAAATATACACCAGCAGCTCAACCCGTTTTAGTGAAATGGAGTGCATCCCATTTGTCAAATAATCTTACCATATATCGTCCTACTGAACCACGTCAATTGAAAATGTTTGGTACATCACATAAAAGTGGTTTTGCTATGGTAGAATTGAAATTTTAATAATAATAAACTATTTCTAAAATCAATAATTTAGGCAACTGTATCTGAAGATGGAACTAAACAAATTCAAGGTCAAGTTATATGTCGAGCTATAGGAAAGAATAATACTCCTGCACCGGAAAATGATGCTCGATTTATTGCTTATATTGTTCAAGTAAAAGAAAAACAAAACAATCAATGAAAGAAATATTTTTTTTTATTTTTTTTAATAGGCTGCATATGTTAATTTACCAGTTCGAAATTTACTTGTTTTAGCTTGTACAAAAAGTATTCAGGTAAGACATAATAGATGAACTCATAATGAATGACCGGCATTTTTTTTTCTTTTTATTATCACTAATAATATTTTATTTTTTAAAAAAATCTAATAAAAGTTGTAGCATGTGAAGCTCTACAAGTTATAATAAAAATCTTATTTAATATAAGTACCTTTTGTTTTTACAATGGACGAAATTCTATGCGACTAATTTTTGGACGCTGCGAACAAGATCGTTTTTTTTAACTCATCGATTGAAGACAATTCTATTCATGGATGAAAAAATA